GCGAAACGGAACCAGGCCTCGTGGCCATTATGCGCCGGCCACAATACGCACCGCGTTACGTACCACTCGTTTTCCACCACTCGCGAGAATAGCGCGTTTTTACAATCAACCGTGCTCCATCTTTCGATCCTATCTTTGAATCGAACGTGGCGCCTCGATCTCGCCCACGGTTTCGCCCACGGTTTGGCGATTGCTAATCGATCGTGAATTCAAACTTTGTGCTTTTTTTCATTGGGAGGATAGCTTAACTCGATCCTTTCCTCGATTCGAAGAACGCTCTGGTGTTTGTACGAATTAAAATTAATCAGATTGGTTGAGAGGGAGGTTTTAATGGAAGGTCTGGTTTTAACTGTTTAATATGGATCTTCATCCCTTTCATTGGGATCAGAAGTATTTAATTCTGTTTATTCGTTTTTTAATTTAAACAACGAAGGATTTATTATTTATGTATTCAGTTAATGTGATAAATGTCGGTTTGAATTTATTTTATCAATTATTGTACCATCGATTAATAATGACAATTTTCTTTAAATTTCGACTTCATTTCTCACCGAATCAAATTTCATGGATCGTAATGATCGTCTCTTTGTACGTTGATAAACATTTTTTTTTTTCAATTCGAAGAATCATATTTATCAATATGCAATTAACATGAATTATAAAAATCGAAGAGAAGAAATGTCGAAACCAAAATCCTTCCATCTCAACCAACTTTATTTATTTTTTTTTTCCAATTTAAAGATTTATCAATATGCAATTAACATGACTTATAAAAATCGAAGAGAAGAAATATCGAAATCTTCCACCTCAACCAATTTTATTTATTTATTTTTTATTTTCCAATTTAAATAATTGTACGATTTATCGATATGCCGTTGGTACGACGCAGAAAAAAAACAGTTGGAGAATAGCGATGGAGCGATAATATTTCACGCAACCGTAGGTTTTCACGAGACGAAAAATTACGAGCGTGAACGAGCCGCGAAACGGCGAGTAACCGCCTCGTATATGCTCGAGGGTGCGGTTCGATGATACGCAAGATTCCTTGGATCGTAAAAGGCCCGTATCTTTCGATTTGGAGGCCGGTGAGGAGGCCGGGCCACTACGGAAATAGCAGGTTTTACAATCAGGCGAAGCGACTCTTTAGAGAGGGTGAAACTGGATAACCTTCGAAGGAAACAAGGGTTCACTGTAATGCGCTGTTCAAAGATTCGAACTCCTCGAAAGGGTGAAGGATCGAAAGCGCGCGCGAACACGCGCGTTTGTTTGTAACAGGTAGGTATATTTTTTTTTGTTTCTCCCTGTGGCAAACGATACTGTTATTCGGAACGTGTATTGTGTCTCGCGTGTAGTTGTTTCTGTCAATCATACGCGGTCGATGGAAACGACGCGAAATTGCCGAAACCGCGAAATAGAAAGCTGCCGTGTCCACAATTTTGGAGGGGAGAAAATAAAAAAATAATGAAACAACCAAGGAAATGTTTCCCCCCCTTGGAAGCGTAAAATTTCCACTAGAACGTAGCGCAAATGAAACTTTAGAAAGGTCCGCCTCTCTAAGATCCGTACTTTATCCGTCGAAACGTCGAATTAACTTTAAACTTTATCCACGTTTTCCTCGTTTTAACGATCGAAGCCTCGAATTTTCTTGACGATCTTCGAGATATACATATATAATTTTTTACATCTCCTTAACCGAGATCTTTCAAACCGCGATCGAGGACATTCTTGTGCCTGTACCAACGCATAACCGAGCAATTCGTGAAAATGGAGGAAAAAAGGGGTTGCGTGAAAGTTGGCCGAGTTAAAGGGTAACGGGGCGGAAGAAAGGAGAAACAAAATGGAGAGGAAGAGGGGGAACTGGTCGAGAGCGAGAATAACTAAGGATGATGGGGGGGAGGTGAGGTTGGGTGACAGGCTGCGCAACGTTGGGCCGAGAGAACGCGTAAACTTAATTGACAAGCACAGGTGGCGCTCAAACCTGACTACCTTTTCCTTCTCGCTGCTACTTAACTGCTGTCGCCTCCCCTCTCCTTCCTTCCCCTCCCCCTTAAATATCGAATCCAACCAGTTTCTCGTTCGCAGAATCTGCTTCGCGGAATTGCCAGCCGCCAACCGCTGGGGTGCACCAACTGAACGAACCAACGAACGAGCAAAGTTTCCAGTCTCGCTTGAAGAGGTTCAAGAAACGAGCGAACGAACGAACGAACGATCGCGCGAACGAAGAAACGATCGAGTTTGAGGGAAGCGGATGGATTAGATTGAAATCGCGAGTCGAGCGGAACGAGAGAGAGAAAGAATCGTGCGTGCAACCCCTTTCATTCGCTTCCGTGGAATTGGCCGTTTCGTTTTTCGAGCACCACGCGCCACGCTCGGGGGAGGAGCGCGTTTCCATCCATGTTTAACGAACGTGGAATTAATCACGGGGGAGGGGAGGGCGTTGGATTTCTTTTCAACCCGTTTCGAATTGCCCGATGATTTATGCGACAACATCGAGCGGCCCCGGATAAGGTTTCCTCCGCGGGAGGGTGAATTCTTGGGCTGGCGCCGCCACGCAGGACTTTGCACGTGCATCTTTAATCACCCGGGTCGAGGGCGCAGGTGAAAGGGGAGCTCGCGTCGCCGCCCCGTGTAAAAAATTAACGACCTGTCTTCCGGGGTCAAGCACGGCGTCGATCGACACCTCCCCCATCCCTTCTCCCCTCTTCGAGAGGGGGGAGTACGAAGAAGAGGCGGATAAGCACGGAGGGAACGGAGCCCGCTCCGAATAGCCGGCTACCGGTCGTTGTGTTGCACCGGTTCTTGTGTTCTGGCTTGTTTAAAAAAAAAAAAAAAAAAAAAAAAAAAAAAGAAGAGAAGAAAGGAAAAAAAAAAAAAATTCCTCTCTCGTACGAAACGGCTGTTTTCGTTGTTTTCTCGAGTGGAGGGGAAAAATTGTGCGACCCGCGATCGTATATCATGCCTCTAATTGCGAATAAAGTGGCCGGTGGAGTGAGAGAGGGAGAAGTTTTCGCAACACTGGTAGGGGATTAAAATTTCCCAAAGTACGTACCCTATTAAAAGTTACAAGATCAATACCGTGTAATCGCTCGTTCAAACTTGCCGACCGATTTTTCTTTTTTTTTTTTTTTTTCCTCTGTTACGCTGTTATTTCGATCGACAATTTAATTCGACCGCGTTATCTGTAAGTGCGTTGTATCGAAATCGCTGTCAACTTACGTTTCCACGGGGCAACAATTTTACGAATATATACAAAGTTTTATATATATATATATATATATATACGCGATACATAACGCAAAGGGAGATGGAAAGCAGCGAAACGGTTCGATGAAAGCCAGTGTCGAGGTGTCGACGATCATTTCGATTGTCAGCCGCCGACGTTAATCGAATTCGTGGTTCGAGCTAAATGAAATTAACCACTTGCTCGCTCGCTCGCTCCTAACCACGATACGGAACGCATCAGCGGACTTCCTCCCCTTTCCTCGTCCATTCTTTTCCCTAGTTTCTTCCACCTTTTCATCGGGGGTTGTCGCTGCCGTCCTCACGGGACAACGAGGCTATCGTATTTTCAAGTTCTTTCGTTCTTCTACTGGCCTACGAGTCCTCGAAAATTCCGCACCCTCCCCCTCGCGCGCAATCGTTGAATTTTCAAGACTTATCCGTCCGCGGATTAACGTTCCGCGCTGAATAACTCGAAACGACTTACGAGGCGGGAAAGCATGCCAGATTTTCCAGCTATTTCGACGGGGAAACGGAAGACGATTAACATCGGATTCGAGGGTAAACGAAATAGCGTTAAGCGTAAAATGTAGACGGGGAAAATACGCGCGATATTCCGTAGAATTAAATTTCGAATAAACGTTTGCGTACACCTTGTCCTCCCTTTCTACTTTCTGCTAGAGTAGAATGTGTCGTGATCTTTCGCCTTTAGACCCTTTATGCTCGAAATTGTTATTCCAAGGGGTTATTTTAAATTTAAAGTTTATTAATCGTTTATCCTCGATGTTCGATCAACTTTCGTGTAAATGGGTTATATACTTTTTTTTTTTTTTTTTTCAATTACGTACAGAAATTCGCGCGCGCTCGCCGTTAGAAACATCGATTTACATTCTGCGCGAATTCTTTTTTATTTTTTTTTTTTTTTTACCTTTTTTTTGCAACAAACAATTTACGAATTATTCGAAATGGTTGATTCGATATTCTATATATCTGTCACGATACAACACGAGACGATGTATTGGAAATACAAACCCTCAATTCATACCGCCCATCGCTGGCGCTTATTTTTCGCTCGATTGTTATCCGACTCCGTCCGAGCTTAAAAGAATATTATGCCTGTTGCAAATTGCAAAATAACGGGAATAACACGAAACACGGATAATGAGGGAATAAGTGTTTGTCACGCGAGAAGTTTCGTTCGCTGGGAATCGCGGGGAGGAAATTGGAGACGGCCGACCGATCAACTCTCGACCAGTTCGAGAGCAGATTCCTCGCTCGAAATCCTTCGTTCATTTCGCGAGTGAAATTCGAAGATGCGTTCTTTGCACTGAAAGTAGAAGAAATCACATCGCGATTCATTCGAACAATTTCATTTTCCCAAGTTTCGCTTCACCCAGTTATTTATCCCCCGATTTTATTTATTCCCGTTGCATCGACGGTTACCTTCTTTCGAGATTCTTTTTTCGCGAAAGGAAGGGATCGATCCCCGAAGGGAACGTCGGCGGGGACGTCAGAGCGCTCGACGTTTGATCGAATAAAATATGGATGGGGAGGGAGAGGATGGAAGATCGCGAGATCCACGCTACAATCGTGAATTAAACAATTAAGGGGGTTTAATTTTAACCTGGTGTTCTTGGCAAATTTGTTGCCGTATTCTAAGAAAATGGCCCCGTTCCCGCTGTTGGATGAAAATTAGCGGATAATGATGTTCGAAGAAATGAATTATTCCCTGTCTTCCTGCGCAATTATTTCTCCGTGTCCTGTACGAGACGTGACGGGGTAGGGTAGGAGAGGAGAAAACGTTCCTTGGGCAAAAAAAAAAAAAAAAAAATCATTTTTAATTTCGTCCTCCTGTAACGCTCGCGCAACGGTCGGTGTCATTAGCGAAGTAGTAAAAAGGAAAAGGGAAGGAAATGTTGCGCTCGTTAAAAAATATTTCTTCCGAGTGTACAAAGCGTGCATATGACCGTCGTCGTATACGCGCCACAAATAAATCACTCTAGAGCAATTTGTCCCGGATAGCGCTTGTCCAACGAAACGCGAGGGGAAAAAATCGGTCGATTTCTAATCACGCGAAGCGACAATTTTCCAAAATACAGATTCGAATCGGTATTATCCAAGAATAACTGGATCCCAGAAATCAGAGAGAATTAGAAAATTCGAACGAGACACGTGTCTTCTTAGCTCCGTTCAATATTTATTATACACGATATTTCGACGATTTTCCAAAAAATCGCGACCTCGTTCCTCTTTCCGTCCAATGACATATGAATGAATAAACTTGTTGGAGAAAAATAAAAACGAGGCAGGAAATTATTAAAACAAGCAAGAAGCCCCTCCCCTCTACTTCCAAAAGAATCCTCCTTTCCCCTTTGCAACGCGAATCGTAATTTTTTACCCACGGACACGACATCCCCACAGGGCATCCCCACGGACGAAGAGAAGGAGGCAGGGGCGCAACTAGCTGGCGCTACGTGTAGTAACGCGAGCTAAGAAAGCGTGCAGCATGGGCAATTGTCGGGAAAGAGATGGCCGGGCTTCTCGGAATCAAAATGATCCCTCGACGGGGGTGAGTGAAAGAGAGAGAGAGAGAGAAAGAGAGAGGGAAAGTTATTAAGAAGATTATGGACGGGTCGTTGCTCGAACTTCAAAGGACCAATTCCCATTTTCAATTTGCTCCGGGGGCAGGAGCGTCGAGGGAGGGAGGGGGAGGGGGTCAAAGCCAACTCTCGTTCCAACCCTCGGCCGGATCCTTGCCCGTTTCCTGGATTGGTCCCGCGATATTCTCGAAGCTCCCGAAGAATTCTATTTCTCGGCCCACTTCCGTGCGTCCCTCCCCTCCCCTCTCCTACCCTTCGACAACTCGCGACTTCCCTTCGAAAAACCTATCTCACGACGAGTCTTATGGCTCGCGGATCTATATACGCGGAATATATATATATACACTCGAGATCCTGGTCAAACGAATTCCATCCTCGAGCGCGTCGAATCGAGAAGGAGAAAGAGAAAGAGAAAGAGAGAGGGGGGGTCTTTATAGATCGA